AGAGAGAGAGAGAGAGAGAGTCGAGGCAATAAAATAAAAGCTACTAATTACAAAAGACAACGGTTTAAAGCTGGCACGCTCTCGCGGTACTTGAAGCAGAGTAATTGCCAATCAGTATGGCAATAATTACAAGTGTAATAACGGAATACCGTTACCATTTTACACATACAGAAGTTCGACTAATGAACATGTATGAATACGTTCGATATATAACCGGTTGACACAGTCGGACAAATAATAAATCATGTACAGTTGTATAAGTGGTTAAAAAACCGTACAAACGTTACTTTGCTTTAATAAAAATACTTGGCAATGCAGTAACGATAATTCTTATTAAAATATTCCATCAGAATAAATATCCGTTGTTGAAATATACGTTTGTGTAAACGAAAAAATTCGTGGTAAGAAGTTACTTAAATTTAAAGACACCTTTCTTTCTCACGTCGCCCGGTAGATGTCTAGCACCGAATAAAAGTCGAGCCTTGTCTTCCTCTTGCGGAGCGGATTCTTCTTGCGGACCTCTCGGCTTGATTTGCAATTTCTGTTTAATCGCTTGACTCAATATTACGCGTCTAGAGTCACTTTTCATAGCCAAAAGGAGATCGAGCCACGTCCAAGTGACATTGTGATACTCCAGCGTAGGTATCACCAGAGCAAAATCCCGAACATCTTCCAAGTTTTTCTCTTTGTTACCCTGTGTAGGTAAATAACGTTAGTCGAGCAACGTTGACAACAACGTATTCGTTTCGAAAGAAGGCAAAAAACATGGTAATCGTTGGTTGAAATTTATCTCAACTACCTTGTAAGAAACACGAACGGGTACTTCAGGTATTTTGATGTATATAAACAATTTGTTTTTGTCTGCACGTTCTTTCATTTTTTCCACGTCGTCCCTTCTTTCGATTGGCACGTAAAAGGAGGAATCTCGTTGCGGTGCCGGCGGCTCTTCTATCCCTTCTGGGTCCCTCTCGGGGAAACAGAATTTGAGCATAGTGTTGAAAAACTTTTTCGTTAACCCTGAAAATAGAATAGAATAGAGTAGAGTAGAGCAGAATAGATATTCGTTTCGATTAGCATTTTAAATGTATCAGAGAGAGAACAGGCAAAGAAGATAGATAATAAAGGAGGAAAGAAAGGAGGAGAGTGTCTCTAGCACCGAGGTTGTCTCTAACCTATCGTTAATGGAACGACGTTAATTTCGAAATGTTCTTTCACGGATATCCCGGCAACGGGCGCTTTTTCCCTGCAGAAAACACGAAGAGCTCTTTGCCTGTCGACAGGCATGTTGCTTTGCAATTCCGTGGGTGTCAACACCTCCGTGTAGATTTGATTCGGCAATAAATTTGTCATTCTAACGTATCCTAGTTCCAGGAGATGTTCCACCGAGTCGTCGGTTTTGCTGGTTTTCGTGTACAGAAAGTTGGTCAATATAAGATCGGCGATCCCCAATTGACCGTCCGCGTCGGTTAATCTCCACTGGGCGTGTTTGAAGCAAATCTCGGCCACTCTTGCGACTGCCGCCGGTTTGTCCTTCAACGTGGTAGAGGCTGTGGTGGGCGCGGTGGTTTCCTTGTAACAGCTCAACATTACGTCGAGTTCTTCGGCCTTTGCACCGAGGTGATCCTTACACTCGAACACTCTGGTTTCCAATCGTTCCATTTCTGCTAGCAACTCGGGGCTGGACTCCTCGGCGAGAGCTTTTTGCACCAGGTAGGTTTCGCGCTCCAGCCTCCTTAATTTCGCGACCAAGCCACGCACGGTGTTCTGCAGCTGTTGAATCGGACGTTTCTGATCCTCGACAGAGTGCAACTGCAATTGAAATCGCATTCTCTGCAAACGTTCGGACGCCTCCTTTCTCCTTGGTTCCACGTAGAGCAGCAAATTGTTAACGATATCCAAGATCATAGCGTACTGGAGCGAGTTGGTGCACACGTCTAAATCGTGATGCATCAACGTGAACGCGTCGGCCGCCGAAAGGTCTTTCCTCTCCCACGGGCTGACTTCTTCTCTCGGCGGCGGTGGGACCTGGTCGACGGAGCCAACGTCCAAAGCTTGCCCATAGCCAACGTAGAAGAATTCGCATTTACATCTGGAGACGATACGTTGCAATTGGTGTTGCGGACCACCGCCGCCGCCAACCGTCTGACTCACGACACCACCGACGCTTTGTCCCGAGCCAACCAATGCCGGCACGTCTGGTAAGCCAGCTATCACGGTCGAATCTTTTTCCTAGGTTTTTCAAACATCAAATGTTAATTAATTAAATCACGTGGCAGTAGTCAGACTCTCTCACACTCGTATAGATCGATTGTCAATCACTTACTTGGATGTTATCCAACGTCAACCACATTATATTGTCATCGATATTTTCGTCAATGTTGGCACTGACAGTGGCGTAGTACTGCATACACTCCAACGATCCGACCCAGGTCGTCTTCGACACCAAAGTTCTCTCTTTCCACACAGGTTGGTGAACTCTTTGCAGTATCTCGGCTTTAGCCGCGGACAGGATCACGTAGCCTCGCGTTTCGATACCCTTTAGCAACACTTGGCTGTTCACCAAGGCGACTGCAAAAAAAAAAAAAAAAATTTCTCTTTTCCAATACTATACTTTTTACACACGTCAAAAACGTGTGTGTAAAAGTTGTAAAAATTATTTCCCTATCGGTCCCTAACTACCTCTACCTCCACCTGAGAGAATCTGGATCCGACTGTAATCGTGCAACAACAACAATCGCAACAAGAAAGAAAGAAAAAAAGAAGAAGCGTACTTAGCCAATTCTTGTGAAGGACGTCGTCTTGATGGCAAGCCGCTAGACCTCGCAACTGTTGACCCCTGGTTTGTACGGACAGATCGTCGCTGAACGCGACCGGTTTGTTCGCAGCTTCGGCTATCAGTCTCTGCAACATACCGACGGCCTCTCCCTGCTGCGGCTTCGCCGTGGACGTGGCGTTCGCTTGCGTCGTCGCGTTCTTCTGCGTCGCCTCGATCGACCTGGTGGTCGCTCGACTGGACGTTTTGCGCGGCGGCGGCGGCGTTGAACGACTCTCCCTGGCGTGGAAGCCTTTCAAGGCGGCGGTCGACAAATTCTTCTTCAACTGTTGAGTCTTGATGAAGGAGTCGAAGAGGGCAAAGGCCACGTCCCTGTTGGTCTTTGTCCAAGCACCCTTCAAGTCGTGCACGACGAGCCTGTGGGTGGGAGTGTCTCCTCCGGTGACACCGGCCACCATTGCCTCTCTGCCGTAGCTGACGCGAGCCACGCTCAAGCAGTAACACTTCTCCACCGGCTGTCGCAGCGAGGCGCTCTCCTTGTCCTCGTGGAGGGCGCTCTTCAGCCAGATCTCCGCGTCGCTGAGCTCGCAGTTCATATAGACGACCGACCATTCCGCTCTCGGGCGATGTATCAGGCCGTCGTCGATCGGGTAGAGGGACAGGTTGTGCTCGCAGCTGCACACCACTCTGCCGCCGGTCACCTCGAAGCCGCGTTGCATCGCGAACGACATCCAATAGCTGACGTGAAACTGATGGAAGGCCAGCGTCAGCCGTACTTTCCTGTAATGCCTGCTCAGCTGTTTCTTCCTGGCTCTGATGTTCTTGAACAGCGCGCCTTTCCTCGTCGGCCTCGTCGCCCCGGACAAGATGAACTTTAGATTCTCGAACCATCGGAGAGTGCTGCCGTAGAGGAGTGCGGTGGGCGCTACGCTGGCCGCCAACGCCGGCGATCCGGTCGGCTTCGTCTCCAGCGAAAGGCTGACGTTCAAATTTTGCGAGCGGAACGCCCTGAACGAGTCGTGCTCCTGATTGCTCGAGTACTCCGGCAACCTGTCCGGGGCGCATGGTATCGCGGCGTGATGATCCCTGGGATCGCCTAGGCAAACCCACGCCAACTTCACGCTCAAACGTACGTTCGGCAAGTGTAGGAGCCTGCAGTCGTCGTACTTGCTGGCCGTGCGTACGTAAACGTCCAGATCTCCTTTCACGATGATCCTGCCCTGCGTCCAGTCCAACTCCAACCCGGTCCACGTGAGCTCCATCTCCTCCGTGGTGTTGTACGGATCCAACGAACCGTGCAACAGCACCGTCAACTGTTTCACGCAGAGGGTCAACCTGCCGTGCAGAGCCAGCCGCATTTTGTCCCAGAAGGGTAGCGGCGGACTAGGGTCGCGCGACGGATGGATAATCTTCTCGAAGCTGAGGTTGCACTGCGCGATCACCGGCTCCCAACACGGCCCGAACGCGTATCGAAACTTGTCGATGTCCCAGTTTAGATCGTGGTAGTACTTGAGCGACGTCATCCCCCTCTCCACGACGATGTCCTCCCAAGGAGCGCCGATCTCTATCCTGACGGTTCGCCTGGCTCGCGGCGGCGCCAGAGCCTCAGCGCCGGCCAATCTGCCCCACACGCTCAAACCTTCGACCAACAGCAACGGCTGCGGGAAATCTCGCAGCTGCAACTTCCATTCGGCGCACTTCAAGCTTATACCCCTCACCCACAAGCTACCGAATTCAAGGCCGTCCTCTGGCCACGGTGTCTCCGCGTCCATCTCGCGCAGAGCCTTCGTCGCGTTTTCCACGCCGTCGATCGACGGATCGGCCAACGCCAGTATCTCGATGTCCGACATGGACCAAGCGAACAGTCGCGTTCTAGCTGGCCCGGCACGCTGCATCTGTTTCCATCGTTGCACGTATATCTCCGCGTTCTTCTTGTTCAGGCTGACGTACAGTTCCTCGACTTTCCCTTGCGGCAGCAACAAGTGCGCCCGGCAGAGTTCCTGCACCTTGGCATCCAGCATCGCCTGCCTCTTCAAGCTCTCCTTGTACTCGTCTTCCAACAATTCGTAATTATCTCGCAAACGTACTTCGAACGGATCGTCGCTTACCTCGAATACCCATTCTTTGATCTGTAACATGCGAAATCATTATTTCTCTCGTACGCAGCTTTACTTTTACGTACCACGTTTATTAACGCACACACGCGTACTTTTATAATTAAATCGCACGGCAAACATCTTTCCTTTCCTTGACTCGACGAACAACACGACGACGGTGACGGTGACGGTGACGACGACGACGACGACGACGAAGAAGACGAAGAAGACGAAGAAGACGAAGAAGAAGAAGAAGAAGACGACGAAGAAGAAGACGACGACGACGACGACGAGGAATGAACGTCTTTCAACCATTTCTTTATACTGAACAATTCGTTCTGAATTGCGTCGGTAAACTGATGCTCGTACGGAAAGCAAGCTTTCACCGATTCGATGTTGAGCATCCAAGTTTCGTTCCAATCCAGAGCAAAACCTTCGTTACTCTGCCGCTCCAGTAGCACCTCTTCGTTACTCGATATTCTGATCAATTCGAATCCTTCGAACATGACTATGTCGGCCATATCTAAAGTAGCTCGCATGTAATTCAGTCTCCATTCTCCTTGCGACCAACGCAACTGGTCCGAGGAAAGTTCTAAAAAGTGTTTCGGAGAGATGTCTATAGACAGACTAATCCCGCCGGTAGCCAATATGTCGACCGATCGTTTCCGCTGTTTGCCAATGTCTTTGCCGCTGTCTGCGGTGAAACAGTGAGTGATTGAAAGTGATCGAGTCGGTAAAAAGTATAAGTACAAATACAAGTGAGAGTACAACACCTTGATGGCACGGTCGCGTCGACGAATCTCCGACGTTTATGATGGATCTAAAGTCTGCAGATTCCAGCCAGAGTTGCAAGAGGCGAAGGTGCAAATTCGGACTCCATGCCAGACTGGTACCGTCCAACGTGATGTTTATCGCTTCGGACGTAACCGCGCCTTTGCACTTTCTTATCGCCAAGAACGGGTGCACCAATGCTTGCGCGTGCTGACAGACGATCGGTTCGTTTTTGTTTAACGTGATTGCGCTGACACCCTCTGCCACCGCCACCAATCGTTTCGCATTGTGCTCTAAATTCGCGATATCCAAACGCATCATCACAGATACTAAACAATCGATCGAAACCACAGTTTTCAGATGTTCTGTCTTGTGTGACAATTCTAGAGAAATAAATAGGACAAACATACGTACGATTGTTCTCCGCGATAAAAAATAAATTACAATTTGTAATCTTGAGATTTAATTGAACCACGCTGTCCGATTCTTTCGCCCTTTTCGTCGGTTCGATCCTTCTGTTGTACATCTGGCAACATCTGTCGACATTTTTAAGGAAGCTGCGTTACGGTAAGCTGGTTTAGAAAATTTATCCAATATATATCGCCTTACTTGTACGCCTCCTTGAGAAATCTAGCAAGTTCCAAACTCCACTCGGTTACGAGAGCATCGACGGCAATTCCCACAGCGTTGGTACGTGTCGTGGCTAATAATACTCCGATGGACAAAGGCGTTCCCCATCGATGAGATGTTTCCAAGGTAACGGCGTTAGAACCGTTCAACGTACAATACAGAGATTCTACCACCAACTCTGTGTTCCAACTGTCAATTGTCGTATCTGCGAAATTATTGAACAAAGTGGCCAAATTAATGTTAATCTATCAAATCTATAAATTTAGATACAACCAAGTTACACGTACGCACGTACACACCTGCCAGTGTGTTCAATGAAAATTTCATATGAGCCACACCGCACGAAGCTTCGTGAACGTCCAATAATTTGATGCACAACGACGAGTCGTACAGTTCTGTATTTACCCTTACATCCAACCACGGGAACTTATTTCTTAACGTTATACCGCCGACAGGTCGCGAAATTTCGTTCTCGGTATTACACAATATCGACTCCCAGTCTTTGTGATCGTAGATGACGGAAAGATTGTTAATTTGTATGGCAATTTGTAAAATGCCTTGCTCCATCTGTCCACGAAAAAAGGATTTTCGAAGAATTGAGAACTTTCGTCTTGTTTGACGTTTTGCTCGATATAACGATATTTTATCCTTTAAATTTACCTTTGAATTTACGATCAACGATCGTAACGTCAGAACAGGGAATTTGCTACGGATCGATAGTCCATCCAAGTTTAACGTGAAATTTAACAGCGGGTTGGATGGTTGAAATTTCGTACTAATTTGCAAACCCTTCATTGTACCTTCCAAGCCAAGTACCACGCCATCCTCTCCACCCGTAATTATAGAAGAATTGCCTATTTTCAGGCAAAAATCCTGCAAATGTATATTTTTACAATTACGTTCCGGAATCTTCCGGCAGTGTACGCTGTATACACTGCTTTAACAACGTACAGTTACCTTCGGTACGACTGGTGCTAACCGAGATAAGAGATCAATGGAAGAGTCGACATGTGCATCTGAATACGAAGATGCCGTATCGATCAATGAACTTCTATCTTTGAAGAATGTAACGAGACCTGCCCCTCCAGAACCCTCTGTCTGCGTTATTCCGACGTACAATTTCTATAAATTATATCCTGCTTGATTCCTTGAATCTAATCCCATTGTAAAGGACAGTTGTTCAGGATCGTCCATTAAGTGTGCTAAACACAAATAGCTATCGTTCAAAGCATTGAGCTACAGCTACATCGTTGACTTACAACTTGGTATCTCGTCTTACTTTCTAGCCTTTGCAATTCCCGCGTTAAAACAAGTGTCGTACAACACGTACAAAACAACCTACGAACAATGTCTTCATACCTCTACCGAAAATTCCTCCTGGGCTTTCAGTGTTGCTTCGGCTGTTCCAGCAAATGATATCTGCGAGAGAC